GAAGCCTGGCATGCTGGAAAAAGGGTACAAATGGCCGGCTGTGGTGGCTCACGACTGTAATCCAAGCACTTTGGAGGCCAAGGCGGGAGGATCACCTGAGGTTGGGAGTTCAAGACCAGCCTGACCAACATGGTGAAATCCCGTCTTAAAAAAAAAAAAAAACTCACAAAAAAAAAAAAAAAAAAAAAAAAAAAAAAAGGTTACAAATTTCTTACCAGACTTCTGGCTTCTATGCAAACTGATTGAATGAATGGTTAAAAACAAAAACACTGTTTATCTCTTATGTAAAGTTCTAATTAATATGAAAATGCATTTGTGAGGCTAGTCTTAAACTGTAACAAATCTGTTGTACTTTGTGCTACAAATTTGTCTTTCTGTATTGTTCTGTCATTAAGAGGGGTACCTTAGGATAAAATGCAGGCCTGGGACCCCTTGAGGCTGCTGTTCAAGATGGCCCAGCAGAGTGGTCAGTCACGTCCTTGGAAGCTTGACCTTGTGACCACATGTACTTTCTTTTGGTTTTTACCATCACAGTGGTGGCCCAGGTTCAGAGTTCAATTCCCAGCTTAGGGAATGAGTACTTTCTTGTTTGATGTTTGGGTGAGGGTGACCTTTACCATTTGTTGATTCTCTTTCCCTCCAGAAACTATCTTGAATTTTTCTTTTTCAGAATACCTGTGAAGTTACTTTCGGTAAAGTTAAAAAGCCAGAGATATTGGCTGTTTGACCTGACTAAAGCCTAGTAATAAGAAATTTAAAAGAACGTTTTAAAATAGTACTATGGTTAAAAGTCAGCTTAATTAAAAGCAGATATTCAAGTTCTAACTGCCTGGGGACTCCTTGAAAAAAAACAAAGAGGCACCATAGACCCTGTTTTGGGAAGCACCAGTTTTTCCTCATGAAAGCCCAGGAATTGAAAGTGGGCAGATCCTTCTCAAAATCTAAAGTTCTGTTCTGTTTCCCATTGCATTATCTGATGTGTTTTACTTTCAGGGGTATCAGAAATTACTTCACATTTTTATTTATTTTTTGGGGGGACAGAGTCTCTCTCCAAAGCCCAGGCTGGAGTGCAATGACGTGATCTCGACTCACTGCAACCTCTGCCTCCCAGGTTCAAATGATTATCCTGCCTCAGCCTCCTGAGTAGCTGGATTACAGGCATGTGTCACCAGGCTCGGTGCGGTGATTCATGCCTGTAAACTCAGCACTTTGGGAGGCTGAGGTGGGCAGATCAAAAGGTCAGGAGTTCGAGACCAGCCTGGCCAACATAGTGGAACCATGTCTCTACTAAAAATTGAAAAATTAGCAGGGCATGGTGGTGCACTCCCATAGTCCAGGAGAATTGCTTGAACCCAGGAAGTGGAGGTTGTGGTGAGCCTGGATTGTGCCACTGCACTCCAACCTGGGCAACATAGCAAGACTCCATCAAAAAACAACAACACTCTAATTTTATCTGAGTAGGGAAAAAAAAAAAAACAAAAAACAACAAAAAAAACAAAAACAGGCATCCACCACCACACCCAGTTAATTTTGTATTTTTAAAAATTATTTACCTTTTTTTTTTTTTTCAACCAGAGTGAGTTTAAAATTTTTCTCAGGTGTTTTTTGTTTGAGAAGGGGTTTCTCCACGTTGGTCAGGCTGATTTCTATCTCCCAACCTCAGGTGATCCTCCTGCCTTGGCCTCCCCAAGTGCTGGGATTACATGTGTGAGCCACTGCGCCAGCAAGATAACAGGATTTGAACAGAGATACTCACTATTACAAATTTACCTTGAAAAAAGAGGAACTGATGTTTTCATGAATCTATATAACTCACCAATTACCACATTTTCTCATGGAAATGTATTCATTTTCTACAGTCAAAATGGACTAGAGATTTTCCCTACTTTTTTTCCTTGGTCGCTAGCATTCTAAAAGCTAAGCCTTGGAATTCTGTTTAAATCCACTGAGCCAAAACAAAACAAAACAAACAAAAAACACCTGAGAAAAATTTTAAACTTACTCTGGTTGGGAAAAAAAAAAAAAAAAAGTAAATAATTTTTAACGAATGGAGCACATAATTAGACATTTTTTTAAAAACCCACCTCTTTTATGCCCTTTGTAAATGTTTTTCTACTTTTCAAGGTCTACTAATATAATGCAATTTACAGCTAAAAAACAGGTTAAAATAAGTAACCCATATTTTCAAGGTGACAAACACAGAGTGACAGTGCTGATTAAAAAACAGATGTGTCTGACTCATGTTTCAAGTCAGGCCATCCAATAACTTGAGAGATTCGTTTACCCACTCCTGATCACTTACGTGCTCAGGAACCACACATTCAGGAGACACTGTACTATTTCTCAGTGACTGCTCCAGGCGTATTGTACTTTGCAAGCTCTTACGCCATCTCACTAGAGTCAGTTTTTTTTGTCTTTTGGGACACTATATTTTCTGCTACAGATTTTTGATTTTTCCCACCATTTTTCTTTCCCTATTTTTATTTCATTATCTTTCTGCACCCTTAGAGAATCCAAGGGGCAGAAATTATTTGTGTTTTCCCCTCATTACCAGCATCTGATTGGCTGATCAGCAACATGTCTTCAAAAAGTGGAAGCTGGGTTGGGTGTAGACACTCTTAATGTCTCAAGGGGTTATCTTTTTTAAAAAAGAGAACATTAAAAGATTCTTGTCAGACCCAGGGCATCCATTTGCTCCGTTGAGAGGATACACTTCATACCTCAGGCCTTCCTATGGAAGAAAAATCAACCACAAGCTAATATTCTCTAGGCATTTTAGCTGACATAACCATGGCAGATATCGTGGTTTATCCCCAGACAGTACTGAAACCAAGGATGAGAAAAAAACTAAAGGGTGGCTACAGATATATCACCCCATAAAGTTTCCAAAGGGGCGGGGCACGGCGGCTCACACATGTAACCTCAGCACTTTGGAAGGCTGAGGTGCGCAGATCACGTGGTCAGGGGAACCAGACCATTTTGGCCAACATAGTGAAACCCCACCTCTACTAAAAATACAAAAATTAGCTGGGCGTGGTGGCGCATGCCTGTAATCCCTGCTAATTGCCAGGCTGAGACAGGAGAATCGCTTGAACCAGGGATTTGGAGGTTGCAGTGAGCCTAGATCATGCCACTGCACTCCAGCTTGGTGACAGAGTGAGGCTTTG